GTATTTAATTTATATAAATTTAACTTTATATGAAAATTGCGAGTAGTCATATAAAATTGCGAGTTCATTTTCTTGGTACTCGCAAATTATTTGCAAGTTGTAATTTTAGGGAGTTTCTAACCATGGATGGCAATATTAAGAAGTTTGATTTCTTCAAGTCTTCATATGCCTGTGGCGATCGAATATACAAAGTTAAACAGAGGCTAATAATTTTTGGATCCCAATGTCATTGACGTTTCTCTAAATCTGAACGTGCACAGTTCTGAAGCTGTGATTTTAATAAAATCCCAAAATGCTCTGGTAATCCTTCTAGCATTAGAACTAGATTGACTAGGTCTTCCATGTCCTTATGGTCCTGTTTGTTTAGAACAATACGAGCAACACTTTCCTCGGAAGTCAAGTTTTGGTGAAACATACTGTCAGTTCTGCAGTCCTTATTGGATTGTTCGACAAGTGTTGCATTGTTTGAACTCTGAATGTTCTGCTTCACTTCTTTCAATATACTCTTCACCATAGTGGAATCCTTTTCCATTTGTTCATCTTCCATTTCAAGAGGACACTGAATTTTCATGTTCTCTTTAAATTCTGATTCCTCGTCCTTACTGCTATCTTGATACATGTACTTCCTTTTTCTAACTATTTTCCTGACTCTTGAAATGTTGCTGGAGGAACATACATCCTGTTTAGCCAACCATTCCAGGAAAATGCTGCAGTTCTCTGACATAACAGAAACATGTTCCACCTCAAAAGTAGCAGAGAATTTCTCCTCTTTAAATGATTTTGGAAAATAATCATCATCTTTTCGAAAGCCTTTGAAGACATTTAGAGTTGAAATTAAGTGAATAATTCCATCTATGTTTGACTGAGTTAGGGGAAGGGAGAAGCCAGTGGATAATTTTTTTTCCTCTACTTGCATCCACAAGTTACCTGGTTCAAATCCAACTGTGCAATTTACCTGAACATTATCTCTAAGGTATGGTAGAGGACAGTTGAAAGCAAAAAATCTTATTGTTTCTTGCACTGTACACATAGGTGATAACCGTACAGAGCATTTGTTGCTTGTAACTACTCTTGGGCTAAGATTTTTGAACAGAATGACTCCTTTGTCTCCTTTCATCACTTTTTTAGGACATGTTGACTCTACATCAAAAAGTCTTCTTATGAGTTTGCTTAGTGTCTCAGGGCATGGTGCATTTGCTCCAACTGCCTGCACACAGGCATTATGGATGTCTCAAAGGCTTACAAACATTCCATCTGTCTTTGCTTCTAAATTTAAGGCCAGCCTAAATTAAAAATACGAGTTTAGGAATTTTTATAGTTGAAATTATAGTCCTGTTTGCTATTAATAACAGTTTATTCTTTTAAAAGACTGATATGGATGTTAAGAGGATGACCATTTCTTTCAGAAGGGGGGTGTTGGGAAGTCTTGCAGATTTTTGAAATAAGTAATCTGTTGAGAACAAGAAGTCTGTTAGCCAGTGCTCACTAGTAATACCCCCGCTTTGATGTGAATGTACACAATTTCAGTTATGGACAGACACAAGGATGAACAAGAAGTTGACATCAGATTCATACAAAAATGAATCCCACCATATGGCATGCCTAAACTAAGAATGACCTAAAATTTCAAGCATCTGCAATCAGTAGTTGCTGAGAAAGCTGCGACCAAAATTTGTTATGTATGGTACGGACAGACGCATGGATAAACAGGAAGTTGACATCAGATTCGTACAAAAATTAATCCCACCATATGGCATGCCTAAACAAAGAATGTGCTAAAATCTCAAGCATCTGCAATCTGTAGTTGCTGTGAAAACTGACACCAAAATTTGTTCTCTGTGGTACGGACAGACGCACGGATGAACAGAAAGTTAACATCGGATTCAAACAAAAATGATTCCCACCATATGGCATGCCTAAACAATGTGCTAAAATTTCAAGCATCTGCAATCAGTAGTTGCTGAGAAAACTGCGACCAAAATTTGTTATGTATGGTATGGACAGACGTACGGATAAACAGGAAGTTGACATCAGATTCGTACAAAAATTAATCTCACCATATGACATGCCTAAACAAAGAATTTGCTAAAATTTCAGGCATCTGCAATCAGTAGTTGCTGAGAAAACGGCGACCAAAATTTGTTATGTATGGTACGGACAGACGCACGGATAAACAAGAAGTTGACATCAGATTCGTACAAAAATTAATCCCACCATATGGCATGCCTAAACAAAGAATTTGCTAAAATTTCAGGCATCTGCAATCAGTAGTTGCTGAGAAAACTGCGTCCAAAATTTGTAATGTATGGTACGGACAGATGCACGGATATACAGGAAGTTGACATCAGATTTGTACAAAAATTAATCAAAGTATGTGCTAAAATTTCAAGCATCTGCGATGAGTAGTTGCTGAGAAAACTGTGATGAAAATTTTGTTACGGACAGACAGACAGACAGAAAGACAGATGGACAGACAGACAGACAGACACACAAGAGTAAAACAGTATACCTCCCTCTCCTTCGGAGCGGGGGTATAATAATTCATCTATCCTTTACTTGGAAGAAAATTATCTGATAGCTAAATGTGACTAGTGCTTCCCCTACCACTCACACACCCACTTACCCCTGAAATATAATTTTCTAGTTTGGAACACACATCATATTTTTTTTCTTTTTGTCGTTTTCCAGGGAAGAAATGAATTATCTTTCTCTGATCATCTTACAAACAAGATGTTTGTGAAACACTGATGCCCCAATATGGCAACTTATAGCAAAGTTTAAACTTTCTCAAATGCAAGTCAAATATGTTGGTACCCAAAGTAAGGTCTTGTCTTGAGGAATATACCTGTGAAATATGAAAGCCCTAGCAGCAACCATTGAATAGATATAGAAAAGGTTAAAGTTTTTCAAATGTAAGTCAAACATCAATGGCAAGGTCAAATGGTCAAAATTAATGGGGCCTTAGGAAAGGCCTTCTCACAAGAAATATACAGGTAAAATATGAGAACTGAAGCACCAATCATTCAAAAGTTATGACCATGGTTTAAGTTTTTCAAAAGTAGGTCAAACTCCAAGGTCAAGGTCAATGGATTACAATTGTTGGTATTCAAAGGAAGGTCTTGTCACAAGGATTACATATGTGAAGTATGAAAGCCCTAGCACCAACGGTTCAAAAGTTACGGCCAAGGTTGAAGTTTTTCAAAAGTAGGTCAGACTCCAAAGTCAAGGTCAAAGGGTCAAAGTTGTTGGTATTCAAAGGAAGGTCTTGTCACAAGGATTACATATGTGAAGTATGAAAGCTGAAGTACCAAATCGTTGAAAAGTTACGGGCAATGTTAAAGTTTTTCAAAAGTAGGTCAAACTCCAAGGGCAAGGTCAAAGGGTCAAAGTTGTTGGTATCCAAAGGAAAGACTTGTCACAAGGATTACACATGTGAAGTATGAAAGCCTTAGCACCAATTGTTCAAAAGTTATGGCCAAGGTTAAAGTTGGATAAAATTTTGCAAAACTGTGTCAAACTCCAAGGTCAAGGTCAAAAGGTCAAATATGGTGGTACCCAAAAAAAGGTCTTGTCACAAGGAATATACATGTGAAATGTGAAAGCCATAGCTCCAACCAATCAAAAGTTATGGGCAATTTTGAAGTTTTTGCGGACAAACAGACAGACAGACAAACGGACAGACAGGGCAAAAACTATATACCCCCAAATCTTCGATACGGGGGCATTAAAATAATCAATATGGGTAAAATATCCTGCAGGAGCATGCAAACAAAGAGATGTGTTTGTTAAACACTGATGCCCCCATATGGCAGCTTATGGCAAAAATTAAAAGTTTTTCAAAATTTGTTATGTATGGTACGGAGTCAAACTCCAAAGTCAAGGTCAAAAGGTCAAAATTGTTAGTATCCAAACTAAGGTCTTGTCACAAGGAATTTACCTGTAAAATTTAAAAGCCCTAGTATTAATTGTTCAAAAGTTATGGCCAAGGTTAAAGTTTTTTAAAGAGTGGATCAAATCCCAAGGTCAAGGTAAAAAATATGGAAAGGTCTTGTCACGATAAATACACATGTGAAATATGAAAGTCCTAGAACCAATTGTTTAAAAGTTTTAGTCAAGGTTAAAGTTTGCTATTTTTTTGCAAAAGTGAGTCAAACTCCAAGGTCAAGGTCAAGAGGTCAAATATGTTGATACCCAAAGGAAGGTCTTAAATTGTCACAAGGAATACACATGTGAAATATTAAAGCCATAGTTCCAAGGAATCAAGAGTTAACTTATGGGCAAGGTTCAAGTTTCTGGACAAACAGACAGACAAACAGATATACAGAGCAAAAACTATATATATATACCCCTGAATCTTTGATTATGGGGGCATAATGAGCTGACTTGACAAAATTTGACCCACCTTTTCTTGGTCCCCAACCCCTTCAAAATCAAATGGTTGTCCCTTAAGTAAACAGCCTTTCCCATGTTTTTTTTTTTTTTTGGGGGGGGGGAGGGGGGGAGGGGGGGATATGGTGGAATTTGTCTGTCACATTGGGAAGAAAAATAACAGTGTTTTTGGAGGGATACAGGTATGTTCAAAATGAAAAAAATAACAAACAGAATAAAAGTACATGTAAATTTCTTTTCTAATTAATTACACGATAACATCATGATTATGTGACGTCATCAAATGATCATTGGATTAAGTTCATTAACACACACTAATGCACTGTATTATGTAATATTTATGTGAGAACTTTGCTGAAAATGTCATTTATCCATGAACAATATTTATTTCACTTTAATTAATCTTAAGTTCTTTACTATAGGTCATAGGATGTGGCGATTTCAAACAATTACCACCTGTCCCTAATCGTAGATACCAGGATGACGGACAGTACTGCTTTCAAAGTGCTAACTTCTTTTCAACCTTCCCTCATCATATCAGTTTGCACGAGGTAGGTTTAAGTATATCTTGCACCATTTTCATGTGAAGAGTGAAGATAGACTCTTAAAACATGGATGTGTAAATTTAATATGTCAATATATTTTTTTAAATTTCTGTTAGGTTGTTAGGCAAAGTGAGCCTCTACTGATTAAAGCTGTGAACGAGCTCTGTGATGGGGAGCCGTCTGAGGAGACGGTGCAGTTTCTGTGAAGCCTTGACAGGTCTCTAGATGCCCCCGCACAGGATGTTATGAAACTGTTTGGCACAGATTTTGATGCAAGCATGATCAATCAGGACACATTGGAGGAGATGCCTGGGGCAACATTCCATTACAAAGCAACGGATGAAGGTACATGTTATTGTATTTATAGGAAATTTTTTATTAAAATAGGTCAGTTTATAAATTCAAGTAATAAATGCATGGATTATTTAAGAATAACAATGTCAATTTGCCAATGAACTTTCATTGTGTTGGGATATTTGAAATAGTTTCCATTTGTTGGTAAGAGAAATAAGACACCAGGTACAAATGCATGCAGTTGGGGACATGCATTCTTGGACTTAATGTACAGAACATTAAGTCTTATAGATTACACATATCATGGTACAATAATACTGTTATATTATAGGCAGATCAGTCTATTTTTAGAAGCAGTTGCACGAACATTCTTTAATATTAAAGATATTAAAATGTTTATGTTTACTTCTCTGTTTAATTTCAGGTGAAGTCAGAATGTTGTGTGATTGCACTGCTCCAAAGCACTTGGTTTTGAAAGAGGGTGCCAAGGTTATTCTTATAAAGAATATTGCAGATGGACTCTATGATGGTATGAAAGGAGTTGTTCACAAACTTCAACATGACGAACCCCCAATCATCAATTTTAATGGAAAACTATTTGAAATACCCAAAGTAAAGTTTGATGTTATTGACCCACAGCAAACGGCAGACATTAACCTCTAGAACTCAGATTCCTGTTTTACTAGCATTTGCATTAACAGTACACAGAGCGCAGGGGCAAACATTAGACTTAGTGGAAGTGGACTGCTTCTCTTTCTTTGCTCCTGGTCAAATGGGAGTTGCAGTTGGCAGAGCTACCAGGATTAGTGGATTAAGAGTTTTGAACTTCAACTCTACAGCTGCATTTACCAAACATCCTGATGAGGTTTTTGAGTTTTATGAAAGCCCCTTTACAGACTTTTTCACAGATCTGCATTGTTGTGAAAAACCAACCATATCAAAACTTTCCTCTCAGATTTTAGGTGATGAGCCTTCTACATCAGGGGAACCCTGCTTGTCTGGAACAATTTTTGAATCAAGTGGAGATTTACTGGAAATGGAGTCACCCTGGGATATACAAAAATTCATGATAGCAAACCAGAAATGTCCATTCGTGATGGATTTCTCAAATGACTTCTTTCACTCTCTGTCATTTGAAAGACATGTGAAATTTTTATATTACAGTCCCTGAAACGTTCTACTTTCCCATTTTTCCGTTCGCTCACCGTTCGTTCAGCGTGCGTTCACCGTTCGCCCTCCGTTCACAGTTTTGCGTTCACCGTTCACCGTGCACTCGCGTTCACCGTTCACAAAACGTTCAGCGTTCGCTCTTCGTTCCGTTCACTTTGCGTTCACCTTGCGTTCAGCGTTCACCTATCGTTCAGTTTTCATTGTCATTCGGAACTCCGAAGTGAAAGGACTTATCTTTTTGTAGTTAAGGAGTTACAGGTTTTTTTAATTTATTAACTAACATATAGTGTTTGAAGAATCATTATTTCATGAGGAAAAATATCTACGATATATTTTTTTATTATTCTAACTTAGCTGTTAGGTTATTTATTAAATTACTCTGGAAAAAATGTTGTTACAAGCACATTCTGTACCTATGTAGAACGATGCTGAAATATTAAATTTAACTAAGGGCAATGTGCAAATACTTCATGCACTGCAACATTTTTTTGTTTTGTTAAAGACTACAAATCGTTAATGGAGATATAATTATTCAAGTCAAATAATTACGCACCAAATTACGAAAATAGTTATTTCTATTACGTTTTTTTTTCTCAATTACTACAGAAAATATAATAGAACTAGTTCTGAGATTTATACATAGTACTGCGGATATCCTGTTAATTTATGATCTTTAGAACGAATCAAAATGATAGTGTGGTTAAAGGAAATATTTATTTAAAATGTAATGCACTACAGAATTTCTCTACTGTAATATGTAAAGTCTATAGTTATAGAGAAAAAAATCTTTCTTTACCGTAACTTTATATGTTTGCCATTCGATATGATTAATACCCCCCCCTTTCCCCCTAAATCGGTGACTTAGTCAGTACCATATTTCCAGAGTATTTTAATTAACATTAAAAAAAAGCTAGGGTCTTTTTTAGAACAAAAATTTCAGTCTCAAAACAAACATGCATCTAAAAAAAAGTCACAAAACAATAGTAGATCAAAATGTACACGTGTCGGCGGTGGTATTTGAAATTGGCAGAGAGTATGTTTCACATTCAAGTGTTAATGCCCAATGTATTTTACTAATTTATTATTCAAATGTTGGAATCAAATCTAGAAATGATAAAAATAAATGTTACAACTTGTTGGAAATACTCGCACTTCGTCTTCGATGTGACGAAACTTTCACACCTGCACAGTGTCGAATGATTTTGATTGACAGGACAAGCACGTGGACTTCGTGTGAACTTGAAGCAGGAAAATAAAAACGAGTATGACTGTCAAACAAATGGATATGATTTGTTGATAAAAAAAAAAAGTTACTTTCACTGTCTGATATATTTAGAAAAAAAATTCTGAGTTTTTGTTTGATATAGGTACAAACATTTGGTGAAGCCTGAAAGGAGGGGGGGCTAAAACTGAATAGTACTCTCTCTCTCTCTCTCTCTCTCTCTTGTCTGTTTAATAAAAACTATAACACCATATTACTTAAATATCATGTTCTGAAAATTGAATTTATAACAAATAATATGAATATGTATCTTTGTATCATCTTGTCCGAGTTTAATCACGGCCATCTAGAGATACATGTAGACGTCTGCTCAATAAATCATAATGAAAAATAGAAATGACACATAATATATTATTGTATTAAAAATCTAAAATACGAGCGTAAAAATGTAATTAATTTTTTTTTTCATTACTTTACACGAAATCGCCTTGACCCGGAGATATATATATGAATATAAGTTACAACCGCTTTAATTCATTCTATAAATCATAAGTTTTCTCTGATTTGTTATCAAATAAGAATAAACATTTTTATTTTCCAACTAAAAACAATATTTTTTATACTTCAGCGTTCGGCAACAATTGCAATGTTTTAATGCGATAAAAATCGTGTGATTAAAAACTTAATGTGCATGCATCGTCTTTCTTAGGACAATTTTGGAGAATTTATTTTATTGACTTATTTATTCATTCATTAATTTGTTTACTTTTTTATTTATTTTTTTTTTTGGCACCTGACATTATAATACAATAAAATAGTTTCAATGCAAGGAAAAGATCAGAGGCATTCCGAATATATCGTTCATCTTGCGTTCACCGTTCGTTCACCGTTCACTTTGCGTTCGCGTTTGCGCTCCATTCGCGTTCTGCGTTCGCTCACCGTTCACACATCGTTCACCAAGTTGTGTTCAGCGTTCACACATCGTTCACTCACCGTTGGCTCTGCGTTCGTTCAGCGTTCGTTCACCGTTCGTTCAGCGTTCGCTCACCGTTCAAGTGGGAAAGTAGAACGTTTCAGGGATTGTATCACGTGTGTGACATTTTGAGCAAAACCCCAAAATCACCCCAAGATTGGACTGTTGCTTATAGTGAAATGAACACTTTTCTTTTAAGTGATAAACATACTTCTTCAGTGAAAACAATGTTTCAGAAAAATGAACCTACAATAAAGAATTCAAGTTGTCTACAAAAATTGTTCTTTGGTTCATGGATAAAGAAGTAGGAAAGAAAGCAGAAGATGTTATTCAGGAACATATCAAGAAGACAGAAAAGTCCGAACGTTCTCCAGAGTTATCTGCAGCAGCATTGGCAAAATTACGGTACCTTGCTGGAGCCTGTATTCAAAAGGTTGCAAAACGCATGAAAGAGTCTGTTTTGAGGAAAGTTGGGAAATGTTCCAAAAATAGTAGAATTCTCAGAAAATTAGAATATAAAAAGCAAAAAATGTTGAAAAACTTTCGGATAAGGGAAGTTGGAAGTTGATGAAGGAGAGGAGAGCATGAGAGAGATTGAATATAAGCAAGGACCAACCAGGGGATTGACAGTAGTGAGTGAGCCTGTGTTCTCTTTCTTTAAATCACTTCATAAAATTGTACAAAAGAAATTGACAGCAGAGCATTTCCATCTCTTTCATGAAGATTTGCAAAATGTCATCCGTGGAGTGTAGATTCTGACATGAATTTAGCAGATGAGTGGATTTCTTTGTTTAATGATGCAGAGGTTTCACATGAAGAAGTAGATGATGAAATTTTTATAACTTTAGTTATGGACCTCTATCGTGATGTTACAGAGCATTTTATTAGGATTTCATATGTTGATGCTCTTCGAAATTTCAAACGCTCTGTTCCTCGAAAGAAAAAACAAGCCTTGAGAACAAAAGTTCAAGCCCTAGGTGAGAGGGAAGACAATAAAAAGAAGAAAGTAGATGAGAAAGAAGAAGAAGAATCTTTTTCATGTAATGTTTGCAAATGTGAGTGGGAGCCAACAGATATAGGGGATGAGAGCATTGCAGTGACATGTGTAATACATGGTTCCACTATAAATGTGTGAATTTAAAGGGAAATGAAGCCTTTCTGAGAAAGAAAAGTACAACATGGAACTGTTCAGGCTGTAGCAAAAAAGGAAAGGGACGTGGGAAACATTCTTCAAAAAAAATAGGTAAACAATCATATAATTGTGTAAAACTAACAATATGGTAGAGATTCTTAATTCAGCCAAAACATGAGTTGCAGACTGATTTTTTTCTGTTGGTTTTATATATATATATATATATATACAAGAGTTATCTCTCTTTTTTCCTTGTCAATATTTGTGTACAAGAAGTAAATTTCATATAATGAAATTGTTGTGTATTCACTCGAATAAATGAGATTTATAACACAGCTCCATGCGGTTACAAACTATTTATTACGGAAGTACATGAATAACATTTAAAACCAAAAGGTACAAGTCTACAGAATTCCGGAATACTACATTCCTCCCCCTTTAAATGTGATGGACACATAGTTCATACTTCAATGATTAATAAAAAAAAAAATCAAATTTTGACTAGTAGAAGGAATATCAATATTAATGGACATCTGCATATTGACTTAATACATTCATGACTAGACTTTGACTAGACTTGTGAACAATCTAAATTCACATTTCAAGAAGAATGAAAAAAAAAGTGAACATTTTTTTGCACTACTTGGTTACGTGTAACATAAAAAATCACAAAACATTACAGCTTCTAATAATCAAACACTGCATGCATATAAAAAAAAATTGTCAGTCTATTATTACTACTGGTAACGTTTTGGCAGAACATTTCGAGTGGTGCGGGTTGGATAGCGTTTTTCGGACACGGAAGTTGCTGCAGGTGCATGTGTCGGTATAGGGGTCAGTTCTGGTGATTGTTTCTTGGTAGGGTTTGATGTTTCGACCGCCAATGTATCATCGTGTATCAATGTATCTGCAGAGTTGGTGAAATCTGCAGATCTTATCTGGTCTGTATGACGCCGCCATGTTGTCCCTGGTGTAATTTCCACTTTGTACGAAAGAGGTCCTGTTTTTGAGTCTATTTTCCCTGACACCCATTTCTCATTATTGCTGCGATAGTCACGCACAGCAACCTTGTCACCGGTATTGAACTGTCGAACGGGTTCGGATGTGCGGTAATGCATGCTCTCTTGTTTAGCTTCCACTGTGTTGCGAACATTCGGCTTCAGTCG